CAAGCTCGCACTCCGTCTGTCTTATAGGAGGTGTGGTTGTGGTTGATCCATGTCGCTTCTCAAAATTCACACTTACGGCTGCTGACGTCGTCCTAGTCATGTAGTCATATATCACAATACTGAAAAAAAAACTGAAAATGACAATTTCTCACGGCAAATGAGCACCTGAAATGAAAAAGTCTCATCAGGTTCTCAAAGCTCACCATATAAGTCGAATACATGGAGATATTTGCTCACGAATTATTAAAGATGCTTTAGAAGCCCTCCGAGTAAGCAAAGCTTAACCTGTGGACTTTGACGGATCCCATTGAGGGTATCTTGGGCTTCCCAGTATAATCTGCGGCTTGGCAAGGCCATCTGAAACAATGCAACGCGCAGAACAGACCCCCACCCAACCTCCCAACGGGACACAAACTCTCTTTTACTCTCCCAAGTTGGCGGAAGTGCGCTGCAAAACACTACGGGCCACACGATAGCTGGACCTGTTCGGATGTCCATCGGAGGCTGCATCGCCTTGTCACGGGGACTCGGCTAGCATACTCCCAGGACCATCCGAAGCTTGCTCAATGCCCACACTGGGAACACTTTCCAAGCGCTCCGATAGCCCCTCCGGGTGGGATTGGGCGGGTCAAAAGAAGACTGCCGAGGAGTCTATCCCTCGAGTCTTGCGCCAAAATGGCACGAGGATAACCTCAACCGCCACTTCTGCTCAAGCATTGTTACATCACAACAAGTTGTTACACAACAATGCAACGCGCAGAACAGACCCCCACCCAACCTCCCAACGGGACACAAACTCTCTTTTACTCTCCCAAGTTGGCGGAAGTGCGCTGCAAAACACTAAGGGCCACACGATAGCTGGACCTGTTCGGATGTCCATCGGAGGCTGCATCGCCTTGTCACGGGGACTCGGCTAGCATACTCCCAGGACCATCCGAAGCTTGCTCAATGCCCACACTGGGAACACTTTCCAAGCGCTCCGATAGCCCTATCTACTTCCGCCACTTGCTCACGGGAAGCACCTCGCACATCGCTCATGCTTCGAGGTCTCGAACCTTTCACGGCTCATCGGCTTGGCCATGCGTCCACTTTCATTGAACGGCCAGCCACACACAGTCGTCCATTCAAGAGGAGGCTTTCTGAAATTACAGCCTCGCGTAGAATGGATTTTCTTAGACCGGACACTTACGACAAACTCCGGCGTCAGCCAAGACTCAAGATCACTTTTTAGCTCAGCGACGTCAAAATCACACAACGAACCCTTTTCAAGATTATCTACTCTCACAGCAATTTGAAGAGCCATGTCCTTGAGCGTTCCCGTCTCAGTCGACATCGCAGCCAGTTGCTCTTGGAAAGACAAGTAGCTCTGCAGCTTGTCCTTGCCTTCAGGGCACTCTTCCATGGCCTCTTCTACGTATCCCAAGATCGCTGCACTGGAGTGTCTGGACCACCACTGAATCAAATCAAGGGCCACTCCAGACCTCGCAAGCATCTTCACTCCCGATCTGCGCATAAAATGTCCAGTGACGGCCTCAATTCTCAGATTTTCCGCATCTGAAACTCGCTCTTTGATCAGAGACGCCATGGCCTGTGCCTCTTCAATCATCTTGTTTTTGGCCACGAAGCTCCGGGCAGAGCAAACCGTGCCAAACAAAGGGGCCTCCTCCTCAAAACCACCCAGACGTAGCACCTGTTCGTCAAACAACGTGACCGCTACGCACCACGGGCATGAGACAGAGCGAAGCCCCCCACAGCGGCAATCTCTAGAGCGCCGAGCACCTCGGCCTCCAGGATCCTTCTTGGAGACCGGCAAACACAGTGTGACCTTCTTGGCATTGGCATCCAGCTTGACGCAGCCCAACGTAAGGCATCCTAGCTCCACTTCACGCAGGACAAACAAAATGCCCAGCGCCCAAATCCACAGGCCGCCCCGAGGGCCTTCCGTGCCAGACAGAATGCTGTTCAGACCTTGCAGAGACACATCCTCGTCCATCGCAGTTTGGAGCCAAAGAAGTTTTACTTCTTCCGCCTTGGCAGCTGGCCCCATTGCACGAGTAAGCGGCCGTTTGCAGTCCTTGTATACGCAGTCCAGAGAACCTGTCCACACCGAACCAGCTCTGATGTGGCGCTGCCTTGCCTCTGTGATATACGACACGCCAGCTCTATAACCAGCAGCCCTCAGCGCCGCGGAAACGGCACACAGTTCTCACGAGTGACAGGCAATCCTTTCATCCTGCGAGCTTCGCAAAGCGACGTCCATGTAGCAAACAAAGAGGCCTTTGCACTGACCGTGCACGGCGCATACATGGTTTCCTCCAAATTTGCCAAAGCTTGACCAAATAAAACCTCATCGTTTGCAATCTGAAGTGCGCGTCCTAAGCAGCACCTCGTGTGCCTATTTACTGGGATAGCAGGCCCATCCTTCCGTCGACGCTTCACAGGCGAGACCTCCTCCACGACGCGCGTTTCCTCGCTCTCAGGTAGCACTACTACATGGCGAGGACCTGGCACTGACCCTGAAGAAGCCGGGTCTCCATGTTGGCACTCTACGACCAAATCCGGGAACAGTGTTGAAAGCTTGGAGCTGTTAGCTTCACGATCCGACTCCGAGAAGACAGGGATCTTGATCACATCAGTCTCCTGACAGGGGACAGCACTTGCAACTCCAATGATCTGCCCTTTGGGAGGTGAGGGAGCCCTTCTTCTGGCCACCAACTGGTGCTTCCCCTTCGTCCACATGAACGTGTTCGCAGACGAGCATGTTCGCACCCGGTGGCCATGCAGAAGCAAGCTTGGGCCTAAACAGCCTAAACCAAAAGAGGGAGACACAACCAGAGAAATTTGCGCACACATGCATCGAGTAACCCTTCGGCCACTGATTAAAACTGCTGAGTGTCATGATGCTTCCATACCCAGTAAAAGGAGTCATTTCGCTCAGGCACATGGAGACGGGTACAACCCTTCAAAGCCATCGGCACACTGCCACGGCTCAAAGAGTCAGCCCAACGATTGAGCACCCCTGCCACATGCCTTCCCTGGAAACATCTCCCACCCTGAGCTTCCACAAGAATCGCCAACTCAGCAGCTAGCTGTGTCATTAACGGGGATCTCGTTTTGAGTTCCAGTGCTGCTTTCAGGGCCGCTTGGTTGTCGCTGCGAACAAACCACTGGACCTGATCATCACCAAAAAACTCATGAAATACTTTGAGTGAAACCAAAAGCGCCAGAAGTTCCCATTCTGCCTGGAAGCTTGGGTCACCCTTGGTGGCACCAAACCGCTCACAATCATTTTGAGACAATTCGTCTGCCCAATAAGCAATGGGCTGCCCGTAGCGGCACAGTACTCCCCCCATGCCTTGAGGACAGGCATCGCAGAGAATCGTAAGGGCAGGAGCATTGTTTCTGAAATGATACACCTTGCGCAGCGAAACTGTTTGGCCACTGTGCAAAACTGTGGCTTTCAACAGAGCTTCTAGCCACACTAAAGTGTGTCGGAACTGCTTCACAAAAACAAGCCCTTTGCGCACTCTCGTGTCCGACCTGACCGGCTCGGAGTGCTTGGACTGGTGGATGGCTGCCCAGATGGCTGCCAACCAGGGCCTTGCAACAGGGATGATGCTAGAGACCCATCCCAAGAGACCAGCCGCATGCTCTAATTCTGCAATGGCAATCATGCCCTTTGCTTGCAAAATTTCTTGCAGGAGCTGCATCAGCTTGAGGGTTTTGGCAGGGGACAAACTGACTTCAAACACCCCTGCACGATCAAGCGGGAGTTTCAAAGTTACCCCAATCCAATCAACTTGGATTCCTCTGGAAACCTTGTTCCAAGCAACAGTAAAACCTAGACACGTCCACGTGAGAAGGTACCTCAGGAAAGCACGTGTGCGTTGTCTAGCAGAGCTTCCACATGCCAGAACAAGTGGATCGTCAACAAAGCACTGTACTCTAGCTTCTCTGCTACACGCCACAGCTTGGCCCAGTCGCATGGCCCATGCTGCAAGCCTAGCCCACAGCAACGGACCACAAGCTAAGCCGAACACGACGGTTTTGAGCAGATAGTAGCAGTGCTGCCCTTTCACTACAGCAAACGGCTCTTCTTGAGGATGAAGCGGCATGGTGTAAAAGGCATCTTTAAAATCTGAAATCATGGCTTCGAGAGAATCCCCTTGCCTGGCGCCTTTTACCAGTGCCTCGACACTGTCGGCAACATCGGCAATCCGCGGGAGAACCACTCGTTCTGTCAAGAAAATCAAGCCATTTATCCCGGAGCGGCGCATGTCGACGATGAGTCGTACCTTCTCTGACCCATCTTCTTTCTGTTTGACGATGCAGGCAAGCCGTGTGAGCTTCGCATCGGGGCCTAACAGCTGCACCACTTCGTCCCAAGTGTCAGCAGTGACTGCCCGGCCTTCCGCGACCATTCGGTCAAGTTCGGCTTGACTTTTCTCGGGGACCTCTTCAAATGAACGATAATTTGTTGCCGACCCGTCCCAGTCCTCCAGCAAAATGCCGTTGACTTGAGATGCTTTGATGGCAGCTGAGACATCGTCTGTACGAGGAAACACTCCTGTATGAGTGATTTCCTGAGTGATGCCAAGCGGAAAACCCTGTCTTAACCATGTAGGCAAGACTTGAGCATCTGGGTCTTGTGCCTTTGTCATGAGGCATTCAAACAATTCAGCTTGATAGCCAGTAGAACTCACAGCTGACGCCGAAAATCGATCAGCCAGCTCTCTTCTGCACGCCAGCACCAACTCGTCATCAAATGGACAAGTCTTTGGAGCCCTTTCAAAGGAATCCAAAATTCTGGGCGAAAGAAACTTGTCAATCACTTCTCGCACAGCTAAGCCCGTGCGCTGCAAAGCAAGACTTCGTGCCACAGCACGCCGCGGGTCACGCAAGCCACCCACGCACTCGGCATTCTGCTGCTCTCTGAGCTCTGACTTTGACATCTGCTTTGTGTTGATCTCTGCAGCGTCGGTCGCAGACTTTGCGCCTACTACAAGATCTTCTCGCACTAAGACATTGGAATGTCGCCCACATCTCACAAAATTTGAGCCAACCTGTACTCTGCAAGCCGAAGATGAGGCCCACGCCTTCAAGCTCTCGGCCCACGACACACACAGGCCCTGTGGGTATTCTGCAGCTCGAGATATTTTCAAGCCTTCTTGTACGTGCCGATGAGGGCGCACATCTGAACAGCGAAGACTCACTTGAGCCATCCAGTCTGCGTTGGTGAGCACGCAGGTTGGCCTCACAGCCTGCGCGCCATAGCAACATTGGTCCAACATCACCCACTTCATGCCCTCTTTCTTTGCCAGCTTCTTCAACCACCTGGTCTCCCATGCGTAAGAATCCGCAGGGTTTTCTACAGCGAACGTTGCCTTTCTTTCGAGCAGTCGGAGGCACACCGCAAACACGCACTCCAGAATCTTGTTGCCTTCTTCGGAGATTTGGTGCCCCCATCCTTCTGGATACAGGTCTGAACGAACCTGCGTAACGCCTCCAAGCTGGTCGCTGCCAGGCATCTTTGAAAATGAATGGCAGGGCAAGGCTATGTGAACGTGATCTGCAACATCGGCGACAGCTAAAGCTCTCTCCACACCTAGCTCTTCGAGGATATTCCAATCGCCGTGCTGGTCCAGCGGCTCCATCACTTGGACGTTGTGCTGACCCGCGATTTCGGCAATCACGGCTGAGAGGCCCGACATGCTTGAAAACATTTCCAGAAAGACGAACTGTTTGGTTCCAAGCTTCATTCTCTTGTCGCACTGCTCCGTTGCCTTGACCTCGCTGCCTGCACGCACGCTGCACGCGCTGCTGTCGCCCTTTGAAGGCTCCACAACTCGCCCAGCTTCGCCAGAGTCTCGGCGCGCGAACGGCGCAGGCGAGGGTCACTTTGCAGAGGCTTTTCCTCCACCCTTCCCAGTAGTCTTGGACGGCGCCTGGGTGCACTGGAAATTTGCGTGCGCACCGAGGCAAAACTGACATACATGGGCCCTGCAGTTCTTGCATGGCTCTGGGCATGCTCCCAAACGCCCCTTCGAAAACAGAAAACAGATCTCGATGCCCTCGGCCGTCGTGATGTACATGTCTCCCGATTTCTTTGGATGCAGCTTGCTTGCGTTCGGCTGCAACCTTTGCTTCTTTGCCTGTTCCTCTTGCGCCCGCTCTGCCTCTTGACGCTTCCGCCTTCTTTTCTCTGCAAACTTCGAGGTCCCTTGCCCTGGAGGTGAAGGCACGCCGGGCGTCTTTGCCAAAGCAGCGCTCACATTTTCGAGCGCCTGCTGTGCTTGCTCTGACACTGTAGAAGCTTGAGCCCTTTCCATGGACATGCTTCGCCCACCCCGTGCTATGAAATTTTGAGCGGGCCTGACAACATGCTCGTTCCAGAATCACTCGTTTCGTGCCGCATACTGAAAGACACCACTCCAAGGAGCCTCCCCATCGAAGGTAAGTCCCATTGGCATCTTTCCTTCTGCAGCTGCTCTGGTCAGCTCTCTGCGGAAACGCTCGAACATTTCTGCCCTGCATCGGTCCTCCGCCTGCAGTAACAAGTGCCATGTCTCTGGAAACTCGTCGTTGAGCTTGCTCACCAGCTCGAAGTACTCTTCGAGCGCAGCTGGCGTCACAACAAGCTTTGGTGACACAGCAGGCGAAGTTGCCGAAGCTGGCTTGCCTGGATATCTCAACATGAAAAGGGCTGCTTTGTATACGCGGAAACATGCTTTCCACGCATCGAATGTTGGAGGCCCTGGAACATCCAAGGCCTTGAACGTTCCATCGGCCTGCAAAATCCATGAGCGAGCCTTCATCTGCTTCTGCATTCTGCGTCCGTAAGGCGTCAATACAGAAAAATCTGCATAGGGCGCCTCGCCTCTGATCACAACCTTTGTCTTGAGAGCTGCAATCTGCTCTGGCGTCGGCTCCGCCTCTGCAGGTGGATCCCAGCCCGTGAGAGCAACATGATTCTGATAGGCTTCGTCCAGCTCGCTCTGATTCAAAATGTCGATTTCTGATTCGTCCATCTGATCTATCACAGCATTC